TTTCCTACACAAGCTCTATGTTGCGTAAGACAACTTGGAGAGCAGGAGAAGACCTGAGTTATATAGTTATTCCTAATCCTCACCTTCCAGGCACATTTATTTCCTACTTTCTTTGAAGGAAGAAAGGGGAAATCTCTATCATGGGGAAACAGTAGTAAAAATATGACAGTTCCCATCATTTCCTTTTTTAACACAAATAAAAAAAGTTTCTCCCAATTATACAGTACAGGACACAGGCTGAGGGATTAGACCCTGGGTTATAGGCTGATGCCTTCAGGTGATTGGACACTGGCAAGTTTTTGAGGACACACCCCCTGAGCATTCCCCCCCTATAACTCTACCCCACTCTGAGTCCTCCGTTTCTTGCTAGTGTCCTATGGTAGTGGACCTCTTTCTCCCTTTTTGCGGAGAAGTCATTCGAGACTTTTTTCTCTTCAGATTCTTCAGTCAACTGTTCCGTCTTTCTGGTCTGTCTGACCTGTCAGAAAAAAAATAAATCAACTGGGGGACACAGGCTTTTTTTTTTTTTTTTTTTTTTTTTTTTTTTTTTTTTTTTTTTTAAGTTTTGGATAGAATAGGGAATGGCTTAGACCAGGGGCCTTCTATCTTTCTAAGCAAAGGGCCAGCTTATTGCCCTTCCAACTTTTACTGTGGCCAGTGGGGATATCTGTGGGGGGAACAGTGCCCCTGTTGGGTCGGTGGGGGGAACAGTGCCCCATTGTTGGTGTCGGTGGGAAGAACAGTGCCCCATTGTTGGTGTCGGTGGGAAGAACAGTGCCCCATTGTTGGTGTCGGTGGGAAGAACAGTGCCCCATTGTTGGTGTCGGTGGGAAGAGCAGTGCCCCATTGTTGGTGTCGGTGGGGAAGAGCAGTGCCCCATTGTTGGTGTCGGTGGGAAGAGCAGTGCCCCATTGTTGGTGTCGGTGGGAAGAGCAGTGCCCCATTGTTGGTGTCGGTGGGAAGACAGTGCCCCATGGTTACTGACTGTGATGGGAATAAAGCAAATGTCCTGATGTCAGTGGGAGGAATAGTGCCCCACTTTTGCAGGCGGGGATAATACGGCCCCCAGGCCGCAGTTTAGAGACCACTGTTTTGACTCTTTTCAGCTGGAAGTCAAAAATCTCTCCAAAGTGCACAGGGACATGTTCAAAACCGGTTTCCCCAAAGAAAGGCCAGTCCTGTGACCATTCACAATTTCCTGTCGCTGCTGGCTGCTGCAGGAAAAGTTGCTAAGAACCTAAGGTGTGTGTGTGTGTGTGTGTGTGTGTGTGTGTGTGTTTTTTGTTTTTTTCGAAATGAGAGAAGCTCTAACAGGGAAACCTTTGTCAATACAAAGCTTGCAGAGATCCTAGCCTTATCTACTCTACCCAAATCGAAACGCCAAAATATGGCTAAGTGGTTAGCTCTTCTGCCTGGCAGTACTAGGGTCGTTGGTTCGAATCCCAACCACGGCACCACCTGCCTGGAGTTTGCATGTTCTTCCTGTGCCTGGCTGGGTTTCCTCCGGGTACTCCAGTTTCCTCCCACACTCCAAAGAGGTGCTGGTAGGTTAATTGGCTCCTGTCTAAATTAGTTCTAGTATGTGTATGTATAAATGTGAGTTAGGGATCTTAGATTGTACACCCCTTGAGGGTTAGGTCTGATGTGACTGTACAATTGATATGTAAAGCGCTGTGTAAATTGATGGAGCTATACAAGTACCTATAATAAAATATACAGTATCTCTCAGAAGTGAGTACACCCCTCACTTTTTTGGAAATATTTTATCTTTTTATGTGACAACACTGAAGAAATGACACTTTGCTACAATGTAAAATAGTGAGTGTACAGCTTGTATAACAGTGTAAATTTGCTGTCCCCTCAAAATAACTCAATACACAGCCACCTGAACCGTTGGCAACAAAAGTGAGTACACCCCTAAGTGAAAATGTCCAAATTGGGCCCAAAGTGTCTATATTGTGTGACAACCATTTATTTTCCAGCACTGCCTTGGAACCCTCTTGGGCATGGAGTTCACCAGAGCTTCACAGGTTGCCACTGGAGTCCTCTTCCACTCCTTCATGACGACATCACGGAGCTGGTGGATGTTAGAGACCTTGCGTTTCTCCACCTTCCGTTTGAGGATACCCCACAGATGCTCAATAGGGTTTAGGTCTGGAGACATGCTTGGCCAGTCCATCACCTTTTACCCTCAGCTTCTTTAGCAAAGCAGTGGTCGTCTTGGAAGTGTGTTTGGGGTCGTTATCATGTTGGAAATACTTCCCTGCGGCCCAGTCCCCGATGGGAGGGGATCATGCTCTGGTTCACTATTTTACAGTACATGTTGGCATTCATGGTTCCCTCAATAAACTGTAGCTCCCCAGTGCTGGCAGCACTCATGCAGCCCCAGACCATGACACTCCCACCACCATGCTTGACTGTAGGCAAGACACACTTGTCTTTGTACTCCTCACCTGGTTGCCTCCACACACGCTTGACACCGTCTGAGCTAAATCCTTTTATCTTGGTGTCATCAGACCACAGGACATGGCTCCAGTAATCCGTGTCCTTAGTCTGCTTGTCTTCAGCAAACTGTTTGAGGGCTTTCTTGTGCCTCATCTTGAGAAGAGGCTTCTTTCTAGGAGGACAGCCACAAAGGCCAATTTGGTGCAGTGTGCGGTACATGGTCTGAGCGCTGACAGGCTGACCCCCCCCCCCCCCCCCTTCAACCTCTGCAGCAATCATGCTTCTATTTCCCAAAGACAACCTCTGTATATGACGCCGTGCACTCAACTCCTTTGGTCGACACTGGTGATACCTGTTCTGAGTGGAACATGTCCTGTTAAACCGCTGTATGGTCTTGGCCACCATGCTGCAGCTCAGTTTCAGTGTCTTGGCAATCTTCTTATAGCCTAGGCCATCTTTTATGTAGAGTAACAATTCTTTTTTTCAGATCCTCAGAGACCTCTTTGCCATGAGGTGCCATGTTGAACTTCCAGTGACCAATATGAGAGTGAGAGAAATAACTCCAAATTTAACACACCTGCCCCCCATTCACACCTGAGACCTTGTAACACTAACAAGTCACATGACACCGGGGAGGGATAATGGCTAATTGGGCCCAGTTTGAACATTTTCACTTAGGGATGTACTCACTTTTGTTGCCAGCAGTTTGTACATTAATGGCTGTGTTGTTATTTTGAGGGGACAGCAAACTTGCACTGTTCTACAAGCTGTACACTCACTACTTTACATTGTAGCAAAGTATAATTTCTTCAGTGAAAAGATATAATTCAAATATTTACAAAAATGTGAGGGGTGTACTCCCTTCTGTGAGATACTGTAAATATATTAAAAAAAAATAAATTTCTCCTGTAGCACTCGTATGCTGGTTGCATCCTTCAACCCACTTCCTCTGAGCCCAGGTTGTCCTGGTCCTACCCCAGCCTGTTACTGGACAGTAAAAGGAGAAGCACGGTGATGAGCCCATCGGTCACTCTGCTTTCTTCTACTGTCTGCATGTCTGCACAAGAACTGATTGGCTCCCTAATACTGCTTTTTCCTCTCACACACAAGCCTTGTTATACTGGGACTGCAAGAGGTTTACAACCAATTAAATTCAAATAGTTAAACTGCGTGCTTGTAAAATATACATTTATTGATGTGATAATTAAATACAGAGCAGCTTTAATTCGTGTCTATAACTTCAGCCTAAAAGAAAAAAAAGGTATAATGCTGTGTTGCCCTGGGGTGATTTTTGCCTGGCTGTTGTGCATTTGTTCAGTACTGTGATTCACTGACTCTGAATTGGAATGTTACTATTGTTCTTGTTGAATTTAAATCTAAGTAATGAAGCCAGAGGGTCACCAGGCAGTTAGCATTTACAAAAGGGGGTCAGCAACAGCAGCTCTGTATTTCTTTCATGATAGGTTTCTGGCAGTCTTTATTGGACTGTTCCAGTGCCTTGTGTACATTACTTATTTTTTTGAAAGGCTTTCTTGCAAATTTTTACAGATCCTCCTCTAACACCCCGGTCACATCAAGCCCGACTTTGAAATCGTGCGACTTAGTGAAGTCGCACGATTTCAAAGTCAGACGAGATGCTGATTTCAGGTGCGATTTGCAAGACCTCTGCCACAGAAGTCTATGCAAATAGCACCAAAAGTAGTACATGCACTACTTTAGAAATCGTTGCAGCTCCAACAAGTCAGGACCGCACTGATTTTGAACGCTCTAATTGCGGACAATAGGGTGCAACTTGTCATTCGATTTGCAAGTTGCATGGCATGCAAATCGCATGCCAAGTCGCACTTGATGTGACCAGGATGCAAGTCTATTTGTATTAAAGGTCAGAGACACCATAAAACGTATCAGAGCTCATATCTTTTACTAGAGTTCTGCAATATTTATGATGTGATAATTTGAAGGAATGTCTTCCTGTTGGTAAGAATTATTGCTGTGTCACACAGGAACATTAGGGGGCAAAGGTCCATTGGGTTTGTGCTTCAAGTGATACTAAAGGTAAAACAAACATGTCATACTTGCCTGCTCTGTGATGGTTTTTGCACAGAGCAGCCCCAATCCTCTTCTTGTGCCCCCATGGGAAGCTGCTTGATCTCAAGCTGGCTCTGTGTCCATAGACACACAGAGCATGGCTCAGCCCTGCCCCCGCTCTCACTGGCTATGACTGACAGCAGTGGGAGCTTCTATTTCTGAGCCAATGAGGAGGAAGAGAGCCACTGCTCTTATGCACATTGCTGGATAGCGATCAGGCCAAGGTAAATATTGGGGGGGGGGGGGGGCGTGCAACAGCTTTCAGAAGGTGTTTTTGTTTTTTCTTCATAGAATGCATGAAGGTAAAGAAGCATTCAACCTTCAGAACCACTTTCAGTTATGGAATGTTGCAGTCTGCTTATCTTCAGAGTTGTAAACTGGCTGCTCCTTTTAGTAGGACTGATGTAAGCTAGAAATTTTTGTGAGCTCTTTTTAGTTTTAATCCTTTTCTTGTGTTCTATTTTCAG